CACTATGTCCAACTGTCTTTGGGCACGCGCACGGCATCTGGTGCGTGAGGTGTGTACGCGCTCTGGTGTAGTTTACGTTAATGGGTGTGTTGATATCCAGCCGAAGAGCAATCAACCATAACTTCAGGCGAGCAGGCTCAGAAGTTGGGAATACGTGGAAAGTCACCAAAGTCACGTGAGAGAACGTAATCTTTTAGTTTTAAGTCGGTTTGAACAATCCGGATAAGCGCAAGTAAGTACCATTTTGATTAGCCGTCGTACCTACAATGACTGTGCACTGTGTAAACAATGAGTGACGTATACGCGCGAGAGATCACTTCCGGCGCTTGCGTAAACTACGCCAGAGCGCGTACACACCTCACGCACCGGATGCCGTGCGTGCGCCCAAAGATAGTTGGACATAGTGGTGTATTAGAGGTAAAATAAGATATAAATACTGTTCGGTTTCTGGCACAAACCGATCGTTTCGTGTCTTAGGACATCAATGTGTCGTCACGAGCCGTAGGGTTTAATTTGGATTTGTCTGTGCATGTTTTTTTTACTCTCATAGATTTTGTTACCATTGCCATGCATTATAAGACAGATAGACTGCAACGGTTGGAGTTAAAAATCATCATATGTGTTCTACTGAAGAAACAAAGTCACCTACATCTTGGATGCCCTGGGGGTAAGCAGATAAACATCAAATTTTCATTTTTGGGTGAACTATCCCTTTAAGTTGACTGCTTTATGCCAACTCCTTAAATTTGATTACAGAAATATAGTTAACAGTACTGTACTATATAGCCTATCCATGTCTTTTTTACCTCCAGCAAATCAGACACAGACACGTCTAAACATTCTGCTCCTCCACAGTAAAGATGTGCCATCATCATCTGAAATAAACATTTACAAGCTATTTTAATGGCATTACATCATATATGTTTGTCTTGTGTATGTTCAGGCTGAGGTTTGCTGATTACCTGGAACGTGCTGTATTTTATGTCAGTGATTTCAATAGCCATGTGGTCTGATGTGCCATTACTCCTGTAGAGACTCAGTAAGTCTCTGAACCTTATATGAAACATGAGGAGCATATATAAAACATAACCAATCACATAACTGATTATATGGCATTACATTCAAATCAGTCTGAGTAAGATACCCACCTCTGTGAAGCAGACATGAGCAGAACTCTGTGGGCATAAAACGGCCTTCCCTCCACCACAAATATCACATCAGACATCTCTGTGTTATTCAGAAAATGAGCATCTGTGAGGGTGACATGGTACATATTAACAATCATAGTCTTTTTGATGCTGAATTGCATATAGTGAGAAGTTACTAGTACTTATTGTATGACAGCATGGAATACTCTTATTTAGCAAGGATGGGCAGAATTTTTCAAAAGTGTTTCCTCCGAGGAGGCAGTGCTCCTCAAAATATTGAATGGAAAAGAAAATTGTAGTACAAAAATAAAACAATATGCCAATATTACAAAATATAACATTAAAAAATTTATAAATCAGTCGTTTTTCTAAAGAAACATTGTCCAACAGCGACACCAGCAGGTAAAGTTACAGCGTGTTTTTCTTGCCTCCCCTGAGCTCGAGTTTTAACCACAGACAGACCCCCTTAAGTGTGCAGTGAGTTTGGTGGGGGTAACTAAGAATGAATGGAGAAAAGTAATTTGAGAGGAGGCAATGCCTCCAACACGATATGATTAGATATGACTGGTTATGTTTGGCTGTGATTGGTTCATACAATAAATCCTGCCTCTTGTGTTCGTGCGCGTTCCACTTTCGCAAATCAGTCTGAATAAACATAATGACTGAACAAAAATATAATGGCGTTAATGGGAAGATGAATTAAAAAAAGTAAGTAAACAACTCTGAGACTTAAATATAACCACTTTGTTTACGTCAAAATAAGACTTAAAATCGCATGAAAACATTATTTGTGGGAGTTTTTAGTGAGTAATCAGCTTGGTGAAATTTAAATTAAATCTCCGTGTTTGTGATCAATATTTACCAAGCGTTGATGGCTGATTATCCGAAAAATTCTAAAATAGTTAACTATAAAAAGAATAGTTAAACATAAGTTCACAAATGAAATATATTGTTTAAATTGTTAAACAATATATTATTTTGGAATAAATGTAAAATGCTTATAAACACTAACTTAATAAGATTCATACTTGGCTTTAAATAGAATATTGATTACACTTAATGTAAAAATATAAAATGGAATTGTATTTTACATTTACATTTGAATTTACATAAAAGAAAGAAAAAAACTGAGGATTTGCCCCCTCATTTCAGAACACCACCACACACCACTGATATGTGTACTATACTATATGTACTATATCTAATTTATTGAGATGCACCTGTATATATATATATATATATATATACCCAAAACTTTTGAATAATAGTGTACATAGGTAAAGTATGGTGTGTGGTGATCTGCATTACCCAGCTGAGCTGTAGGTGTGTCCTTTACTGCCAGAATACACGGGGCGGCTGTAGAGCAAACACAGTGGCTGAAGATGACTGCCAGCTGCTTACGGATATCCTTACTCTGTATTAAAGAAAAGAACACACAGACATTTCAAGTACAATATTTCACTTGGCTGACGATTCTTCAAGCATTCACATGATGGTGATGGATTTTAAGCACACCTTGCTAGTTTTAAAAATGGAGAAGAGGAGTGGAAGGCCCTCTGAGAGCAGCTCCTCGCAGTATTTTTCATCCCCAATAGTGGTGAAGTCTTTAAGGAGAGAAAGTGTGAGTTCAGTCCTGGACTGGAGCTGGGCACTGTGCACTGACTCTAGCCATACGTGCAGCTTCCAAGGCACTCCTGAGAGAGAACAAGAAGCTTCTTAAAACACTTTAAACATTGAACAACAGATTACACAACTAATCTATTACTTCTAAAACTGCCGGTGCTTGTGCTCTAATGGTGAAAAAAGTTGGTAGTAGTTGTTACCTTAGTTGAGAACCACTGTTTAGTGCCTAAAAATAGCAGGTTAATCTTACCAGTGGTTTATTAATAATCTCTCTTTAAGCCTTGACTGAGCCTGTACTCATCGACTTTTATACACTTTGCTATGCACATGCCAAAAATATCTCACTGTTTATGCATATCTAATTCAATTTGTTGTCCATTTTCTTTCATTTACTGTAAATGAGTCAGATGTGTACCCAGTGCTCTGAGCTCCATGGTGACGTCCAGATATCCGTGCTCAGCGCTGTGAAGGCTGGCTTCCTGCAGCGCTCTGATGCGGGCTTTACACAGCCGTGGAGTGCAGACAGACTTTGCATTTGCTCCATCCTTCATTTCCTGTTTCTCCTGCTCCTCTACTCCCTCTGCCAGGATCTCCTCCAGAGAAAGCACGTCTTCCTGCAGCCACTGGGGCTGACTCAAGAGCTTCCTCAACACATTCCTGGAGGAACAGACAATATTCAATACATAATAGCCTAATTCAATCTTGATCAGTGCATGTGTCTGTGTCGTTGAGGGGTCAGTACCTGTGTCCATGCGCTGCAGCGTGACTGAAGCAGTTCATGCCCTCATAGAGTGAGGATGTCAGATGCACCCGCAGCATTGGGTCAGCGCCACGGGACAACAGCAGACTAACCATCTCGTAGTTACCTGAACACACACACACCAGTAAAATTAATATTTTTGTGGAAACCATGATAATTTTTTTCAAGATATTTGTTACACTGAAATATCAAAGGAACAGCATTTATTTGAAATGGAAATATAACATTATATTACTTAGAAAATTATAAATCTCTTTACTGTCACTTTTGATCAACTGAATGGATTCTTATTGATTTCCTAATATTGATTTCTTTCACTAACTGATCTCAAAACTTTGAATAGTAGGCTAGTGTATACTATTTTATATTTACATTGCAAATAGTATCTGCCACTATTTGTGCCAGGGTGAAAATAGCCTCTGCTATAGTTTTCTGTGTTAAGAATACATTCAAACATAACTCTTTAAAAGAAAGCACGTTAAGGATGACTTTGCACTGTTTTTTCCCCACCTGCGGCTGATGCCAGCTGGAGAGGTGTTTCTGCTGAGCTTTGGTGGCCGTTTCTCAGGGCTGTGCCCTCCACATCTGCTCCCACATCTAACAGGAGCTGGAAAGGCAACCAAAGTTCATTTAACATGATAGTCCTCCAATGACAGTTTGTAATGTCAATATACAGTAGAACATGCCTTATTTTGTAAGTCATATTTAAAATGAATGTATGACAGTAAATACATACACTATTCTTGAACCACTACATGAAGTAATAGTACTGTACATGTACTGTAACTAGTGTGCATGTTCACCTGCACTACAGATATGTGTCCATGCAGCACAGCAAAGGTAAGGGCCACCCAGCTGCGGCTCTCAGGATGGACAGAGGGATGTTTTGGTGAACAGTTGGGCACCTGAAAAGAAAAACAAAGTTCAAAACAAAACAAAACATATGTATTTCTTAGTAAACCACCAAAATGCTTCTGCCTATGTGTGAGTATTATACTACAATAAACCATTCATTCAACAAAGCCAATATCCTGCAGAGTGTAGTTCCAGTCCTAATTAAACACACCTGGACTAGCTAATCAAGGTCTACAGGATTAATGGACATTTCCACTGCAGGACTGGACACCCTGGTATAGATAAATAGGTAAAAAAGACATATAATGTGGCTGAACGAGTACAGTGGCATTACCGCTACATCCAAGTTTGCACCAGCATCAATGAGCATGTGCACTAGAGCCTCGTCCCCTGCTGAGCAGGCGTACATCAGAGGAGTCATGCCCTACACACCCACAGAGAGAGAGAAAGAGGGTTAAACATACTTCACCAAAAAACACTTTGTTAAATATACATTACTGCATAACTGCATAATTCTGTTAAAGGGACAGTTCACCCAAAAATGAAAATTCTGTCATACATTACACCCCCTCACTTTGTTCCAAACCTGTATGAGTTTCTTTCTTCCATTGAACACAAAAGAAGATATTCTGAAGAATGTTGGTAACCAAACAATTGACGTATGAAAAAAAAAAAAAAAATGTTTGTCAACTGGTTACCGACATTCTTCAAAATATCTTCTTTTGTGTAAATCATACAGGTTTGGAACAACCTGAGAGTGATAAATGATGACAGAATTTTTATTTTTGGATGACTATACATTTAAGTCATCCATTTTTATTGTGTCATAATTCAAAAGTTAAATAGGTTCACCTGGTCATCCATTGTGTTCACCCCATCCGGGCCCAGAAGCTGGATAGCCTGGCCAATCAGATCAGTGCGGCCACAGTTGAGCATCCGGAAACCAAGATCCAGATTAAACTTGTCTGCGGCAGCCTTTGAATCTAGACGTTTAAAGGAGGTGAAACAGCACTCTGGCCTGAGAAATAGAAAAGGAGAGAGTGAATCTAGAGCTGATTACATAAAAAAAATGGTGAATAAAAAATACAGCAATAACTTGGCAAAATATTCTGACAGATGGAGAGCCAAAGCGAAAAGTTAATTAGGAAAATGTTGAGAGAAGCGGAAATTTTAGACATGTTGCTGCAGTATGTGTATATTTTCTTCTTCTTTTTCTTCATTTACAGTTATGCTTTTATCCAAAGCACATTCAATGTACCATTTGTCAGTACTGAGCTCCAGGAACATCTTACTTGAGCTGTCGAGGTTCACAGTCCAGTCCAGGAAGTAGCTGTCGGGCAGTCTGTCTGACATCATCACTGTCCACTAACAGGCTCCGTCGATGCTCCGCATGCACCATAGAGACTCGCATCCACTCCATCAGAGGAGGAAGAAGAGGAAAAGGCCTGAGAGAGACATAGTATTACTCAGTTAGTTACCAGCATCTCTCACTTTCTTCTTGCCAAAATGCAAACACTCAAACACTCCAAAAAAGGTCAGGGCAGATCAAAAATGGCATAAAACTGGAGCAGAGAGAAATGAGGACAGTATAATTACAAAGGCTGCTGAATTTGGCTCGCCACAGCCTCTTTCAATCCTGCCTTTCATTACCACAAACAAGCCTGGCACTTCATTCTTAATCACAATTTGTATAACAGCATCTGCCGTCTTCAACAGACATGCCGTGTCGCTGGAATTCAAATCAGTGTGATATTACAGAACGAATCCTCTACGGTTTTCTTCTTCTCAAGTATCTGTGCCAGGAGTGCAGTGATTGTGAAGCCTGCTCACAACCATAACTGTCCACCAGCTAAAAACATTAGTATTCCTTATCTGACGTGAATGCAGAGCAAGGTTTCCACACAGAGTAAAGTCGCCTCATCTTACTAGAACAGACCTAATGTAAAATTCAAAGCATTTCTATAATCTATAGAGGGGAAAGTTCATTTCAAAGAAGATATCACTACTGATAGAACACTAGAAGAAGAAGACTGGATAAATGAATCTATAAGAATTGCACTCCAAAAAAACATATTCATTCATTATATCTTCTTTGCTTTCACAAGTGCTGTACTGCATAGAAATCTAATATAATACCTTTCAAATGTTTAGAGTCGGTAAGGTTTTTTTTTACTTTTGAAAGAAATGCTCACCAAGTCTGCATTTATTTGATCAAACATAGTGTAAAAACAGTAATACAGTAAAATATTATTGCTGTTTCTAATAATTTTCTTACTCATGTGATGGCAAAGCTGAATTTTCAACAGCCATTACTCTAGTCTTCAGTGTCATATGATGCTTCAGAAATCATTTTAATATGCTGATTTGCTGCTCAAGAAACATTTCTTATTATTATCAATGTTGAAAACAGTTGTGCTGCTTAATATGTTTGTGCAAACCATGATACAATTATTTAGGATTATATATAAAAAAAAACATTTAAAACAACAGCATTTGTTTCCAAAAAGCCTTTGTAACATTATATCGTAAATGTCTTTACTGTCACTTTTTATCAATTTATTTCTATTAAAGTATTAATTTCCTTTAAAAAACAAAAAAAAACAAAAGGAAGTAAATAAATAAATAAAAGTTTAAGGCTCTTTATGAGGTTTTGGCCCATTAATCTCACCTTTCTTTGCTAAGGGCTATCCTGGGTGGCTCAAGGTTGGGGTTCTCCAGAGACTCCATCTGTGGACTGCATAGGTAGTAATAGAGTGTGTGAAGAGCATCTGGAGACCAGGAGATGGGCTGCAGGCAGAAAGGACGTCCAGGACTAAGACTGGGACTTGCTGAAACTAAACGCTGCATATGGTGCATTGCACGTGAGACCAAGTCACCTAGAGGACACATACACACACATTTAAAGCACAAATGATATAAAATATCTCATATTGTCAAATACTTTCTTTCGAGACACATATAAGCAAAAATAGCCTGCAGAAAAATAATGGAATTCAAATAACTTGCAATAAATGCCTTTAGTTCTGAAAGCAGACAAATGCCAAAATCACAGTGTGCTGCTGATATAGAAAAACCATCTGTGTTTCCAGTTCAACCCCATAAACTAAAGACAGTAGCTGTGCAGCCAAGCACAATTGTGTCATTTTCTTTTAAAGTGCTGACAACACACAACACAAAGTATATTTCAACACAGTAAAATATATCTTCAGACCCATCTGTTTTATGTCCAAATGTGGAAATGGTAGATGGTTCAGATAAACTCAAATGTCTAAGAGCTTTATTCTAAATTACTCCGAGGGGCTTTAAATCTGCTGTTTTTGCCTCTCGATGCAGAAATCCAGACACAAGCTGTTCCCCAAAGCAAGAGAAGATATGATGAGGACAGGCCAAAGACTTACTCCTTAAAGTCAGAGAGGGCTACAGTAAAGACAGTGGACACTGTCCTCCATATGTGAAAAGCATCATAGAGGAAAGAAATGAGACTGAGAGAACACAGCGACAGCAGAGATACATCATTTCATCCTTGAATGGAAATTCACTGCTTTTGTACTTGGTTATTGGTGGATAATCTTTAAATAACAGCTAATATGTGAATGAATAATATGTGAATGAAAGAAAGAAAGGTGTGGGAAACAATCTAAGCAATCAATCACATATGGTCTAAATGGTCCTTAATGAACACTTGTGCTCCTTAGTTGTTAAACAAGGGCTGCTTTACGATTGCTTGAGTGTCTGCAATCAAAAAGTATAAAGAAGGTGCTTTTTACTCCTCTGACCCAAACAGAAGGTGCTCTTGTACCAGCAAAACAACTGCAGGAGTGTTGCTGGTCCCCTAAGGGAGAGTGTGTTTCCCTCTCTGGTGAATGCAAGCAGCGGCCCCCCTGCCTCATCCTGATTACTCCGAGGGGCTTTAAATCTGCTGTTTTTGCCTCTCGATGCAGAAATCCAGACACAAGCTGTTCCCCAAAGCAAGAGAAGATATGATGAGGACAGGCCAAAGACTTACTCCTTAAAGTCAGAGAGGGCTACAGTAAAGACAGTGGACACTGTCCTCCATATGTGAAAAGCATCATAGAGGAAAGAAATGAGACTGAGAGAACACAGCGACAGCAGAGATACATCATTTCATCCTTGAATGGAAATTCACTGCTTTTGTACTTGGTTATTGGTGGATAATCTTTAAATAACAGCTAATATGTGAATGAATAATATGTGAATGAAAGAAAGAAAGGTGTGGGAAACAATCTAAGCAATCAATCACATATGGTCTAAATGGTCCTTAATGAACACTTGTGCTCCTTAGTTGTTAAACAAGGGCTGCTTTACGATTGCTTGAGTGTCTGCAATCAAAAAGTATAAAGAAGGTGCTTTTTACTCCTCTGACCCAAACAGAAGGTGCTCTTGTACCAGCAAAACAACTGCAGGAGTGTTGCTGGTCCCCTAAGGGAGAGTGTGTTTCCCTCTCTGGTGAATGCAAGCAGCGGCCCCCCTGCCTCATCCTGAACTGTGGTCTGCTGCGTAAACAAACCGCCCACAGCTCAGGCGCTCACACACCCCTAGGCCGAGTTGTTAGACGAACGGCACTTAAAATGTACAGATGTCTCTCTCTGTCTTACCATGTACAAACACTCATGCAAAAATAACATTTCACTAGACAGTAATAGACTGAAATGAAAAACTGACAATAACGGTGTTTATAACATTAAACGTTTTAGCAAGAAGAAGAAAAGTGCCTTATGGGTGACCTAATTCTTAAAGAGAACTGCTGTCTTTTACTAGACTGAGAAAAGCTATTTCACCTTGGTTAGTTCACCCAGAAATGAAAACTCTGTCATCAATTACTCACACTCATGTCGTTCCAAACCCATAAGACTTTAGTTCATCTTCAGAACACAAATGAGGACATTTTTTTTTTTATATTCTCTCATCCTTTCTGTCCAATCCTTTGAAAGTCCATGCAATCATGCATTAAAAAGTACAAAAATATATTGTACACAAGTATATACAAGTAATCCATATGAATCAAAAAGTTTAATCCAAGTTTAGGCTTGAACTGCTCAATTCAGATGGATTACATTAACAATGTATGTATTTATATATACATAATAAATATACACAGTACACATACATATATTATGTAAACAAAAACTTTTATTTTGGATGCGATTAATCACGATTAATCGCGATTAATCGTTTGACAGCACTATTCTAAATACAAAATTATTTGTCTTTTACAGTTCTAAAAGAACCATCACTGGAACCCTTGAGTTACCGGAACCAGAATTGCTCATTTCTTATGATTTTCATTCATGTGGCAACAAGCATTTATTTATTTGATTAAACTTATAATATGCAAAACATTGTCACAGTCCTTCAAAAAGAGATGAATATGAATTGAAAAGCTTGTGACTTACTGAGTTCAGAGAGGCTGCCCACACAGGTAGCCAGCAGGGCCTGCTCCAGCGTCCTGAGCTCCAGCTGTGCGTAGGCATTCTCTCTGCTCTCCACCGCTGAGTCTGGCCCCTCAGCATACGAGCTGAAATGAGCAGGCAGGGAGCTGTCTTTTACTAGACTGAGAAAAGCTATTTCACCTTGGTTAGTTCACCCAGAAATGAAAACTCTGTCATCAATTACTCACACTCATGTCGTTCCAAACCCATAAGACTTTAGTTCATCTTCAGAACACAAATGAGGACATTTTTTTTTTTATATTCTCTCATCCTTTCTGTCCAATCCTTTGAAAGTCCATGCAATCATGCATTAAAAAGTACAAAAATATATTGTACACAAGTATATACAAGTAATCCATATGAATCAAAAAGTTTAATCCAAGTTTAGGCTTGAACTGCTCAATTCAGATGGATTACATTAACAATGAACTTTTTGAAGCATCAACGTTTTGGTTCTGTAGACTTTCAATCGAGAGACAGAAATCTGTTGGGTTTCATTAAAGAATATTTTTATTTGTGTTTCAAAGATGAGCGCAAGTCTTATATATAAATGATGATAGAATTTTTATGTTTTGGGGATGAGTTATCCTTTTAATCATTTATTAAGAAAAAAAATCAAGAAGGTTTTAAGTTATTGCTTATAGTTTCATCATAAAGGCTAGATCATGATAAAACAGTGTTAATACACGAATCAATGACTCTTATGAACCAGTTCTTTTTAGTGAATCAACAAAAATATGAATCCAAAACATAATATACAGGCAAACAGTTTAGCTGTTTACATGAAATGAATGGATCTTATGTACCGGTTCTATTTAGTGAATTATAAACCCTTTTATTATTGATAGCTCACCTAGTCATAAAAACACATTTTCAGCAAGATTAAATCATTAGAACTCAAAGTACCATTCAATCTATTCAAATTTGATCTATTTATTATCATGTCTCTAAACGTGAACTCTTCCGTCAGTGTTGTGCAACTGTAATAATTATGGGGGGGGAGACAGACTGCCAGGCGAAAGTCAATCGTTCCCATATACAGTATGTGTCTCTGACAGAGATAAGAGGAGGAAGTGTGGTAAGTTATCATTTCCTCTGCTCAGAACATAGCTCTTTCTCCTGACTTTAGTCTTGTCTTCCTTGCTCAATTATTTATGCTTTGTCTTATTGCTTTTCTAAATGTCTCCAAGTGTCGATTCAACTCCTGGAGATGTTTTTTTTTTTGTAGATTAATTATTAATTATAATGTACAATAACCATGATTTTTTTTCAGCTATGTCTGGCACATACAGATTGTCATTGGAAATACATAGCTCTCAACAGAAGGGTGATCTTTTTCATCCCACCACAGCATAAGTATAATTCATAAAGAATATACCAATCGCCACAGCGTTATGAAATGTTATCTGTTTTATCTTGAATGCAGAATTGATACCTTGCCAAGCTTTCAGAAACAAAGTGCAAAATGATAGTGAGTAAAATATAATGAGCAGATCATATGTTTGGCAGCTGATTTATCAAGCCCAAATGCAGGGTTTTTTTTTTTTTGCTTCCTTTTTTATTTGATTTGAAATCCATGCCATTTCCCCTGGATCCCTCTTTCAGTGGGTATCAGAAGGGGATCAAATGAGGGATTTGTATGTGGATTTGTTTTCTTCATCAAGCTAAACGATAAACCATTCATAAGGTACAGTGCACACATTCATCTGTGCCACGATGACTCAAAATATCTCTCCAGATGTTGACCACCTGATTTATTGGGGCCATTTTTATAACATCATTGTTATTGAACTGTATTTCTCTTAGAGCTATTTGGGTGAACAAACTCATTGTGAAGTCGAGTGAACCATGGCCTCGCTCGACCGCTGCCAATGTATTGTTTTTGCTACAGCAGCAGATTCTCAGCTTAGTGTGCTACGACTGACTACTAAACACAAAAGAGTGATCATCAGAGCAAACGATAGCAGTTTTCCGAACAATATTCAATTATATAGTTTTTATGAACAGAATCTGATGTTAAAAATATGTATAAAAGGAAGTTTTGCACATATGTAGTATTTAGTCAGAATATAACTGCATGTTTATAACCACATATGAATATGTCCTGAACTGAGGCAGTCTGGTCTAGTTGAGGTCATTTCACATGTGCTACAGATCATATTATTATCTAATACAGTGCAGCTGAAAATACACAAATATGTCTTTATAGAGACCCCAAATCTAAAGCAGGTTCGCTGGTCTAGGCTCTGCAGCCAGATGGGTTTGTATATGGGTCCGGGTGAGCCACAGGGTGTGTGATGCAGCTGGTCAGGCTGTGGACCCACAGACCCAAACCCCTCTATCCAGGACACACCCGTTCCCTCTCCCACAGCTAGCCGTGTCTATACTGGCAGCCGAGAGGCTATGACATGCGTCATAAGCAGCCACACACTCCCACAGACACACATACATGCACATACGCTCTCATCTGCTACCATCATTGCGGACTGAGGAAGAGGGGAATGTGTGTGCACTGCCATTATGTGGAGAGAAATCGAGCTCACGCACACCACTGATGGGAGACTGGGAAATCCATGAGTGTCATAGGCCTGCCCAGGAGTTACTCTGCCAATGAAAGAGAGAAGCTCTGGCAGAAAATACTCTTGAAGTGAGATGAGCATATAGAAGCAATATTTGCTGAAGGGAATCCAAGTGTACCTGGTAGGGAAAATTGCATCTATATAATGGACCTCTACTAAAGTGTTCATGTGTGCACTGTAGAAAACCATCATAAAACCAGAAAGATGTCTGGCAAATGATATGGTATCTGCTTTCAGAACTCCATCGGAGACATCTAATATTGATTTTTTTTAGAACTGAAAAGTGCTTGTTTTCAAGGTGCCAGACTGTTAAGAACTTCCTTTGGATCTCTATTACAAAAATTCTCAGGTTTGTGTAACACAACAACTGTTTTGATCTTTTGAGACAATTTTGGACCTAAGAAATAAAAATATGAGCACATTACTCAATATAAGTGAACAAAAATGTCAAAAGTAATGCTCACCCAAGCAATTGTTAACAATTTTGGTAAAACTTGTCTTAAAGCCTTTATGTATAATGCATTATAAAGGGGTATTAAAGGGTATAATGCATTATAATTTTTCATAATGTGCGTTGTAATACATCATATCTTGTCGTAAATAATTATAACCAAATTTAAAATGCATAGTGTAACAATGAATTGATAAGTGTTATGATGTATTAACTGTGGTTACATTTATTCATAAGATTGGGCAATGCATTATAAGGTGCATTACAAGGCATAATTAATGAAAACTACTTTTAGAAAACTACTTTTACTATAACTTACTATAATAAAACTACTTTTATAATGCATTATACACAAAGGCTTTAGGTAATGTGTCACCATTATTTTAATGATTTTTTAATTATTTTACTTTTATTTGTAAATATTCATTATTGTCATGATATGCACAGTAACCAATAAATGACCAATTGAAAATAAATTGAAATCACTTGTTTTAAATGCTAGTGATTTAGGCATCATTCGTTATCATTTATGAATATTCATTTTGAGATTTGCTAAGATTACATTTAACAGTTAAATTCTTTTTATTTTAGATGATAGAAAACATAATCTAAACCTAAAAATAGGTGTGTAAATGAAATGAAATTAAAAGTAAATCCAATGCTGATTGATACAGATAAATTAAATAAATCTTTAATATCAGGCATAGTTACCTGAAAGAACAATTTGCTTTACTCCAATGCTCTGCAATGTGTTAAAATGACCTAACTTTGACTTTAATACCATTTCACATTAAGATTCATTATCCATTTGTTGTGTTAAATAACTGGCCAGTTCTTTCATTCAAAATTGTTCTCCAACAGAGAACAAATCCCTTAAGAAACTGCTGAAAGAAACCTTTCAATTGCAAGCTCAAATGTAACCCCACTAATTTGCTTAAATATGAGTGATCAACCTATTTTGCTTGCCTGATTTGGCTCAGGTAATACGGTGTGAACACAATGCTCCAGTCACACGCTCCCACAACACTACCATTCTACACAGGGCACAATGGCACAAGTGTGCTGAAGAGCCAGAGTCAATCGGCCCTTGTTGTGTTATAGGTGCTGTACTGGAAGTGCTTGTTGATTGAGGACGTGGAGTGCTGACTGCTATCTCTAAGTGTTAAAGGGGAGGTGCCCTGTTAGTTGTGTGTGACTGTGCACACGGACCATTTCAGCCAAGACTTCCCCTCTCCAGAGGGCAGACCACAGAGTGATGATAATAACAACTTCCTGCATCCTGTTCTGCTACTGATTTAAGATGCAACCCCCAACTCAGCGGAAGAGCTTTGCTTTTACAAATCAAGTCAAGAGGGAAAGGTCAAAAGATTTACTTCTTAACAAGCTTGGCCTACTTTCTTTTCTTTGCTGTTTTCACCTAATAAAAGAGTTTGAAGTTAATAAATCCAATAGATTTCCAGCATCATGTAACTTTTATTGTAATATTTCATTTAAAGTTTATGATATATCCAGTAAAAAGAGAATGAACTCAAGAATATAACTGAAACAGTGGGTGGCTCATAAAGCAGATGGCTCTCTTACTGTGGCAATAGTAACCTGAGTGCACTGTAAAATCTAATTAGTTGGGCTTACTTAAAAAAAGCATGCAAACCGATTGCCTTGAAAAAACTAAGTAAAGTGAAATAGGAATAGTATGTTGTACTGACAGATGCTTAGTTAGTATAGCTTACTTACACGAGAGTTCTAGTAACTAAAAAAGAACTGTACGGGCTACTTGATCCTTTCATTTAGGTTTACTCATGACTTAGTATAGCTACTCACTGACTCCCAGAGTGCATTGCGGCATGAATAAATTATGCAGTTGCTTTGTTTTACAGTTGTTGATTTTATTTGCCAATTTTATTTGCTGTCTTGTGTCAGAAGTAGCACAACAAAAAGAACAAATAAAATGGTTATTGTTACAGTTAATGAAAATAAATGAAATTGAATTGTTACCATTGTCGTGGTTCACGTGCTGAATGTTTAAGTCTGTGTGTGACTTCAGTATATTACCACACACTATTTAAGGAT